CCCCAAAACCCCAAAACCCCAAAACCCCGTTTGATGAAAATAAAGACAATGGTTGATAATGCAAAATTATAAATATACTATTATAGAATTATAACAAATAAAACTCAGAGACGCACCTCATCGAAGTTCTATAATGTAACAAGTTTTACTATAAGACATATGTATATATCTATTCTAACTTTGAAGCTTGTAAATGCCAAGAAATTTGAGCAATTTTTATATTTCATAAATCAGTAAGTAATTCAAAGATTCTATTTACTTAAACTTTGTTAGCTTTATACATATAGCCCTACTGTGCTAAATATTCCAAAGAAGGCAAGAATATTAAGGAATCTGTCTCTGGAAGAGATGAAGCATCACTTAGAATTTTATCAATATTTTCGTCATTTGTATCAGAAATTTCTTCTATCAAAGACAATAGATGACCTTATTCTATAACATTCTTATTGATTAGGTAAGAGTCTTAGTTCATATTGCTATTTCGTTTACCTTCCTTTTGTTAGTTCCCGTTGAAATAATCCTGTTGGTGTACCTTAAAAAATCTTATCTACAGATTAGATTAGTTTTTTTATACATTTTAACAACTATCCAATGATTTTTTATCTTCATATTGAGGTGAGCTATCGCTTTATTTCCTAATTCTTGTGTATTCTTTGACATAATTTTTCTTAAACGTGTTACTATTATCTTGTCTATTTGAGGTAATCATATCAAAATAGCTCATGAAAGAGCCACTCTTTGAATTATTAATTTTCATAGAATTTTTGCTAACATGTAAATTTCTATTGCCCTAGGTTATACTTTTAAATGAAAATCCTTAATTCTGGTTGATTATAGGTTGTGACATGTTAGGCAGCTTGAAATAATTGATAGAGGATGTACTTATCTATTCGTTTAGAAACAAACAAGCGTTTAGTGCCTAACGATCTGTTTTAAACCATGGATGCTGCAAGGCTTCCCTTGCTGAAAGCCTCTACTCTGGATTTTTCTCCAATAATTTTAATAATAAATCCTGAGCTTCATCACTAACCTATCCTAAGTACTTGAATATATTCCCTAAGAAACATAGTTTATTCTAGTATAGCACATTATCTTTTTCGTCTCCATTAAATAAATACCTTCCCGACATTATGTTATACATGATCGAACCAACCCCAAATATATCAGATTTTATATCGTAAGGCTGATTATTTAATATCTCAGGTGCAATATATGAAGGTGTGCCACATATATCTGTTAACTTTTGACCTTGCTAAATCTGGCAACTTAATCCAAAATCAGCAATTCTTATGTCATATTAACCCTCTTGTTTTGACCGAACAAGGATATTGTCCAACTTTAAATCCCTATGAACGATATTGTGCGAGTGCATGAAGTCCACAACTAATAATATTTGTCCCATAATTATTTGCAAGTCCTTCTCTTATAATGAGTTCTTCTCGGTTATTATGTCTAATAATGTACCACCTTCTTGAAAATCAAAGAAAAGGTATATGCTGTTCTAAGATTCAAATACCTTATTAAGTTAGAGTATATTTGAACATCCTGCAAGAATTCTTTGGGACTATATCTCATTTTTTAGTTAAGTAACCATTTTCGGGTCCTCAGCAATAGACCTTTTCTTGATCTATTTAATAGCTACTTTTTTTGAGTTATTAAAATTATGATTCTTGTTTTTAATTTTATAAGCTAGTCTGACATTAGAATTGGCACCATGACCGAGAGGTCCAGTTGTCTCATATCGAGAAGGCTCATCAAAGTAGACTGTGTATAAATCTAATGCCTTAATCCACATTTTATATCTTGATTCATTATATTAGCAGAATTCGTACTATGTTTTACCTTAAATTACTACAAAACTATGGAAGGTTGGCTAAGATTACTCTTAATTCTCTTGATTTTAATATTTTTTACTAAAATAACTCAAATTAATGTCGAGGAACTTTTCTGAAAAATAGTTTCCTTGTCCTATTGATTCATCAAATTAAAATATTATGAGGTTTCCCTACTTTAAGCCAACCAAAAAATCCTAAGACAATATAGTACTTCCATTGTTTGTTCTTACTATAAACTAATCAGATAGTTCACAATCTTATAACTAAAGGCCTTCAAAAATAGAATGTTTTATTTCTTTAAATTCGAAATTCTTCTCACTGTCATAGAATAAGTATTTTTCAATTTTCGCATTTAAGGTGTTGTATTTATTTTTCATCACTTCGTTCTAATTATTTTTATAATATTTTTGGAAGTTTGTATTATCATTCTGATTTATCTCTTGAAGTAAGTTCATATAAGTAATATTTTATAATTTAGAAGATTATTAATTTCTATTAAATTTTGCTAATAAAGTAATATTATTCTTCAAGGGGTTTTGGGGTTTTGGGG